AACGATGATTTAATGTTCAATGTACACAAAATGTAATTTGAGTGACTCACTTGCTCTCCCCGGCAGGTGCACTATTAACGTCTTATTAGCTGTGGAAAGGACAAGAAAAAATATTGCATTTATTATTACAAAGCTTTAATAAGAAATACACCTGTAAGTCCGCAAAACGCACATGCTCTTAATGTAGATGGTTTCAGGTAATTTTCCTTACCGTTTTTGAAATCTCCCTTAGAATTTCGCGCTATTATCCATAACATTCGCGGCATTATGCCCGATGGGTTTGGCTCTTCTGATAGACGCGTGCAAGAAATTTCCTTATCAGCAATAGCTCAGCAATACGAATGTTCAAAGTAAGTTGAACAAGTTGAACATCGAGGCACAGGCAGCCTAAAGAAGATCATTTGAGCCTTTGTTCTAAGGTTTTCTCTTAATGAACACTGCGTTACTGAGACTGCGAATATTGTGCTTACACATGTGCCGAAAGTGTAAACCGTCTCTTAGGCATTTTGCCCGAATGAGTGCAACGTTTGAATTGACACTGGTTGCTCTGCTACCACGAGACAACATATTTTATGTCAGCATTATCACAAACAGTCCGTCCAATACAAGGAATTTTGAAACAAAAATGAATGAAAACCGCACAAACCGTATGCTGGAGAAGATGTTGGCGCAGCCAAACCGACTGTTGGTGGAGCTTGTGTTGGTGCTGAAAGAAAAAAGTCGAAGTCTCCGTCAAAAAAGGAATTGTTCTGTACTGTTTTGAAAACTATCTGCCTCCTGGTTCACTTCAAAATGGAAGTGTTAAACACAAATGTCATCTCCTTTTTTTCGCCTTTAACAACATTTACCGTTTGAAAACGTTTCTATTTCCCTTTCTGATCAAATTTGAAATAAATAACAACAGCCTTTCCCTTGCTCAATAATGGCCTTGCCCTGTTAAGGATCGTTCCATTCCTTTAATAGGTAGGCTTCCATTTACCCTCTGCTTTTATTGGTCTAAGTGAGTCTTTTGTCGAAGTACAACAACATGATACGTTTTTGCATCAAATGGAAACTCGGAAAAAAATCCGCGCCCCAGATCTAATCCGGCGGATGCTCTAACTACTGGGCTACAGACGAGCAAGGGTGAAATGTGGGTCTTTGACTAGAACGGCATCACGCAGTTACATAGTCAGATCACATAGTCCTCTTAGTTAAACGAAATGCTATTCGCTCCTATCGACGCTTACTCTTTCTCTCTACTCTCACTACCCTCACTGCCAGTGTATTATCCTTATTAGGGAGTTTAAGCAGCGACGTTTTGGAGCGACGCACGTCCACCGGAAGTGGACTGTTTGCAATCTTGAGCGGCGATTTTGAACACAGTTTTTGAGCAAATCGTCTCTATAAGAGTAAAGACACTTAGCAATCCAATTTGGTAGCGTCAAGGCATTTAACAAGAGAAAATGACGAACTTCCGGTTGACGTACGTCGCTCAAAAATGCCACGCGCCCTGAATGACTAATCAACCCTCGCGAGGCTAGGAGAAGGTGGATTACAATGTACTTTCATACCTTGACAAAGGCCACATTTCCTTTTACAGTTTTTAATCAGCCACTCAGATTGACAGGCATCCGCTGAGTATCCATCACAACTTTCATGATCTCTTGCAGCACAGGGACCTGATCAGAAGTTTGACACTGGAGTCAGACCACTCTTCCAAAATAACTCCTTTCCCCCCACCCCCACCTCCCACTGGCCACACTCCCCCTATCTCTCGCAGCACAGGGACTTGATCAGAAGTTTAACACTGGAGTCAGGCTACTCTCCCAACATAACTCCCTTCCCCCCACCCCCACCTCCCACGGAACACACTCCCTTATTCGGCCTAAACGTAGACCTGCAGCTAAATTGGGTATGGTTTTCAAGGTTCAACATTGTCGGAGTACCAAGCAAGTCGGAACAAGAGCAAAAGAAAATGGTTTCTCTTCTCCTTTTGCTCTCGTCTCAACTTGATCGACGAACTTGCGAGGAAACGCTTCTGGGTTTAACAGTGTGTACACATCCACTATCAAGACTGTTTTGTTGTAAACGAACTGAAGAAGACTAGAGAACGGTCTAAAAACTTCTGATTGTTAAAAAGAGTATCCTTTGCCGCCAATCTCGTAAATCGAAACGTAAAGGAATCAACAGAGGTCCACAAGAAAAGTTATATGTTAGAAGATCGAAGAGACAATTAGGTGGATTTAAACTTAAAACCTTTTTACGGCTATTCTGAAAAAATAGGTTCCCCCGAAAAGCTTCATTCTACTTTTTTTTTGCCAGAAAAGTCAACACAATTATTTTTATCGAAGGATGTTAAGCTCTCTCCAGAGCGCAAAATGATAAAACTTCTAACATGTGGTAGCTTGTTCCCGCCAAAACTAACACGCTTTCGCTTCTTTACGTGCGCACTTACCCTCGTCTTAGGGCCTGTTTACATGGAGGTGGGGGACCCCAGATAGGTGAGGTAACATGCGGCGGGTCACCCCACCTATCATGTACATGTAATCAAATTGAAATGAGTGATTATGTGGATAGGTGGGTTACCTCACCTACCTGGGCTCTCCCACCTCCATATAAACAGGCCCTTAGAATCAAAAGGTCTCTGGAGCTTGGCAAGAAAACGAGACAACTTTGTTGACTGAATTTTTTATTCTTAGAGGGGGAGAGGGAGATTTTTTATGATGATTTAAAGCCATCCTTGTAAAAACGGATATCTTTGGACGGGCAAAAAAGGTTTAAAACACGATAAGTTGGACGCGAATATTTTGACTGCGCAAATATACTAGTGACGGATCACTGAGCCGATGTAGTGTTTTAGAAACGAAATTCCAGTGCGAAGAGCAAGAAGATTTAAACTTGATAAAAACACGTGCTGTGAGTTTTGGAATAACTTTAAAAGCAATGTCCCCGGGGATCGCTGTTTTTGATGTTCTTGGCTGAAGAATACACAGATACGAAACATGCAAATCAACAAGGGAATGCAAATTAATCGTGAAAAGAAATACACAGTTCAAACGTTTACTTGCGTTCAGGCTGCCGCTAACCAAAAGGAATTTTCCAAGGTTATGAACCGTACAAGAGGAAAGAAAATACTGGAGGAGAGCGTCACTACATCTATCCTCGAGCCGACATAAAAGGCATTGAAAACTTTGACCGGATAAAAAAACTGGTAAGAATTGTTTGTAGCTTATTCTATGCTTGATAAACACTCGCCTCTTGCCTCCTGCTGTTTGGTGTTTTCTCAGTTAGAAAAAAATTCGTTCGTTTTATAATAAGCTTTGACTGACCATAGGTTTTGGCAAGATTTCCGTATAACCCCATACATTAATTATGCAATACGTTCATCCTTATTTACGCCACATTTCAGTCCCTCTACTTCGCATTTTCCTAATATCCCCCGAAGCTGAATTCAAATCCCTACTATAACGTTTCATATCAAGTCAGTTTAAAGGCATGTACATGTAGTGCCTCATCCTTCAATCCGTTTTCCAGATGGGCGGTTATTTTAAATAATTATAAACTCTTGGCCCAGGTAATTGCAAAAACAATCTATCTAAAATTATTTACAACATCAATAATTGTTGTTATTATTGTAACTGTACAGCTGTAAGCAACAAAAGCTGGTTCAAACGTTCCAGTTTTCCTGGGGCTTAACAAACTAGCATGCATTGCAAGAATTTTTTTAGGGAGGGGAGCAAAAGATGCTTGTTTATAAACATTTATTAGATGAAGTTTTCAGGGATACTCAATATCATTTTCAGGTAAGTGTTACAAGCAGAGCCCAAGGCCGAGGCCAAGACTTTGATTATTCCGGATATCACACTGCATTGCGCATACAATCTACAGATTAGTCACTAAACTGCTAGCAGATATTTAACTTCTCTGAAGGTTGCGCTGAGTTCCACAACTAGCTGTGGACTCTAAAATGTATAATAATGTTCATTATGCAATGGCTGATGTCTTTAATTGGGGAGAAGAGAAATAGTGAACCTTTCCACCACCCCCTTTGACTCATGCCAACTCCTCAAGCATGACATAAAAACATTCATGCACCCGAAGAAAATGCTTTCAATGCAGGCTGCTTTAACACTGGAAATTTAAATTGTTTTATAGTTTAGTTGCAAGGAGCTAGTGAGCATGAATGATCAATTAATGCGTTAAGATTTAGTATTAGTGCGATGTTAGTATGGTTAAGGATGGCATAACTTTAGTGAATTCTTTTACAAATAATGTGTACTTGTATGTGTATTTTAAAATGAAATGAGTGCTGTGTCAATGGATTGTGTACAGGTTATTTTACTCATATTGATTGTTAGTTTTAATTTAAATGTGCTTTTGATTTATTTTCTTGCACAACTCCTGAGGTAATCGATATTTTTGAAAAAAATGAATCAGTAGGAATCAATGACAGATCCAGCAATTTTGCTACCATGGCTACATCACGTGACGACTTCTGTCTATTTGACTGAAGCAATGTTAATCGTGGAAGGACTTAAATATTCAAAAATTCTCGCGTTACAATAAGCAGTTTTCGTTTTTTATAAATGTAAAACGCACATTGCGCAACCATCGAGTTATGAATGCAGTGAGGTTGTTGCTGGGCACGAAGTGAGATAGTAAGAGTTTCTCCAGGCGTAGAAGAAAGAAACTCTAGCTCGTCTCAAAGAGAACGTCATCATCGATAATCTGCCAATCGTACTCACTTCTAGACACTCAATAGAAGAGTCCTGGTGTCCAGTGGGCAAAGCCAGATTTATGTTTTTTTTTTTCCAGAATACCTGAAAGATCTCCATTTGGGAAAAAAGGGGAAGGGGGTGACGAATATATCGTTTAACTACAGCCTGTAACTATCATTTACGTTTAGAGTTTTTCTATGAAAGCGCAACAGTTTTTTTTTGAGACCCTGAGTAATGGTCCGGCCCCGGGAATTGAACACGCGACCTCCCGCTCTGCAGTCAAGCGCTCTACCGATTGAGCTACAAAACACTCGATTGTATTTTACCGGCAAACGTTGATGGAAGAGGGGTTGGAGATATGGCTGCAGTGGACGCGTACTCGTCAGAAAGAGGTCTCCCAGTGGCCCCCTGACCAGGCTGTTCCGTTTCCAAGGTTTCTTGGGATTCTGCTGATGAAAGAGCAATTGGAGTGTCAGCTACTTGATTAAATAACACCCCCATAATTACGATACATTGGTCTACCAGCCGCTCGCGATAAAGTGAACCTATTAACTAATTTAAATAGTTTCAAGTCTGTTTGTATGTATCTGAAATGACCAAGCCCTACCCTTTCCCACAAAAGTCAAGTAATCGTCCCATTGTAGCTGGCGCGGGATACGCAACGCCCTCTTGGTTATGCGTCCGACATTTTGTATTTTTTAAACAGAACTCAGAACTTTATTGGGCTTTGCCACAGGCAACCCAATAATAAGATAACGTTTTATTGGTATGTACACAGGAAAAGGTACACAAATGTGTGGAAAAATCACATACATGCACTATACACGGGTCTTGTTTACTCGCAGATAGGTACCATGTGCGAGTTCACCATTTCACGCGTTTCACACGTGTTAACGTGCCGTTACCGGCGTTTTAGTTTTGAAAGGAGTTACCAAAATTTCGGATTACAATCTTTCTGCGCTAGTTAGTGTAGTGATAATACTATTTGCAAATGATCAGTTAACCTCGAACCTGTGTGACCTTCAAGGGTGACGCTACACAGCGTTTAAACCCGAGTGTGTTAGTATCTTTGTCATAATGTACTTGATTCAGACGTATGGTTTCTAGCATCCCCAAGGTTCCTATGGTTTCTATTTGGCTTTCTTACCGAGGCAGTGTCCCCACATTCCATCAATGTCATAGTTAGAAGTGGTGGAGCACCAAGGTTTCTTGTTTTCATCATCCATGCACTCAAAGTACTGTGTACCGTGGTAAATAAAAGGAAACACGCAACACGCGCCGTTGCTCGTTCCACCTTCTGTTTCTACACAGCGCGCATTCAGACCTGGAATAGAACAGTACTTTATGACTCAGAGTCTCTATGATAGAGGTAAAAGTTCCGTTTACACTCTTTTGTACCTTACAAGGACATTTTACTGAGGAATGCCCACAGAAGTTTGCTGGAAAATATAAGAAGTGATCAGCAAAATGTCGCACATGGAACAGTTATTTGACAGTACAAAACGTTGGCAATCTTTTGTCCGCTATAGCTGACATTCGTGCCCTGTAATACGATTGTCGTGGTCGATCGAGAGGAGGCATTTTATTTTCAGCGCACATTATTGAAGACGTTTTAGGGAAAAGATGATATGGATTGAAAAACGTTTTGACCGGTAGGGCACAGTTTTTTTGGACATTACGATAAGTTACCCTTATAGGCACTTTACTTTACGAAACATAATTATCCAAAGGGACAAGCAATTTTCGTCCAGAAGCAAATTTCCATGGAACAATGGACAATTTTTGTTCTTGTTCTAAATGTCAAGTATANGCACCAAGGTTTCTTGTTTTCATCATCCATGCACTCAAAGTACTGTGTACCGTGGTAAATAAAAGGAAACACGCAACACGCGCCGTTGCTCGTTCCACCTTCTGTTTCTACACAGCGCGCATTCAGACCTGGAATAGAACAGTACTTTATGACTCAGAGTCTCTATGATAGAGGTAAAAGTTCCGTTTACACTCTTTTGTACCTTACAAGGACATTTTACTGAGGAATGCCCACAGAAGTTTGCTGGAAAATATAAGAAGTGATCAGCAAAATGTCGCACATGGAACAGTTATTTGACAGTACAAAACGTTGGCAATCTTTTGTCCGCTATAGCTGACATTCGTGCCCTGTAATACGATTGTCGTGGTCGATCGAGAGGAGGCATTTTATTTTCAGCGCACATTATTGAAGACGTTTTAGGGAAAAGATGATATGGATTGAAAAACGTTTTGACCGGTAGGGCACAGTTTTTTTGGACATTACGATAAGTTACCCTTATAGGCACTTTACTTTACGAAACATAATTATCCAAAGGGACAAGCAATTTTCGTCCAGAAGCAAATTTCCATGGAACAATGGACAATTTTTGTTCTTGTTCTAAATGTCAAGTATACAGGACTTCGGAAATCTTCATGCGGAATTGTTACACACTTCGAACCTAAATTACACGACCTTAAATGTATTGAGAAGATGGCCACGGAAGTTGCTGAGACGCTACGGAAGATGTTCGGATATTATCGCTCACGTTTCTCACCTTCTTCCGCTGGACATTCTGGGCAGCATTTCCATCGTTTCTTGATCGGGTTGTTGCAGCTGAGTTCCGGACACTCGATCAGCGTACAGCGGATTTTGCCATCATCGCACTTGCATTCGGGAGTGCAGGGGCCTGGGGACCAGCGTTCACCATGCTCGTGTAAAATACCGTCATAGTAGCAGTCTACATAAAGAGAAAAGTAGGAAACAAAATTGGAATCATCATTCGTTGCAAAATTTTCTTCCTTTTCATTGGCCGAGAGCCCACCACGTGATCTGCAAATAACTGCCTACAAATAATGGTCTGCTCACGCACAATGTCGCTCTACTCTGTTTGGCTGCAAATAATATCTGTTCATGCCTAAATGAAAGCATGCTTTTCTCCTTCTTGCGATCGCTATTCCGTGAAAATGGCAGATTGCTTAGCTTCCCGAAGATATTCATTAAAAAAACAAACACGGTGATCGAATGATAAAACGATTATTGAACTCGGTTAGCGCAAAATATCGTGATTTGTCAGTGTCTCACAGATCAATTATTTGCCTCAGCCTTCGACTTTGGCAAATAATTGATCTGCTCGCCACTGACAAATCACGATATTTTGCTCAACCTCGTCCAATAAATGTTAATTATTCGCTAATTTGGCCTGTCAAAAGACTGTTCAATGTAGTTCGGTCTAAAAATACTTGCGTGGGCTCAGCCTTTCAGTTTACTCCACCAAAAACCCCGTGGTTCTGGCGGGAATGAAAATGGAACAGTCGCTTTCGCTGGAAATCTTTTGGTAAAGGCAAGGGTAAAGGAATACCTCCAGCGTTGTGCTGTGCTCAGTAACGAAATGCATGACTTGTATCCTACTTTTATTGGTGACCTTTTTAGTTGTGACCAGTTGTTAGTAAGCATGCTCTCGCGAAAAGTGTTACTACTACATTTGGTGGGGAATTCAGTCTTACCGGCCTTTCCGTACAAATGGGAAACACCTTAGATTTAAAACTCAATCTCGTGTTAAATATATTAATTTAAATTGTATAGAAATAAAACGATGATTTAATGTTCAATGCACACAAAATGTAATTTGAGTGACTCACTTGCTCTCCCTGGCAGGTGCACTATTAACGTCTTATTAGCTGTAGAAAGGACAAAAAAAAATATTGCATTTACTATTACAAAGCTTTAATAAGAAATAACCCTGTAAGTCCGCAAAACGTACATGCTCTTACTGTAGATGGTTTCAGGCAATTTTCCTTACTGTTCTGAAGTCTCCCGTAGAATTTCGCGCAATTATGCATAACATTCGCGGCATTCTGCCCGATGAGTTTGGCTCTTCTGATAGACGCGTACAAGAACTTTGCTTATCAACAATACCTCAGCAATACGAATGTTGAACAAGTTGATCGTCGAGGCGCAGGCAGCCTAAAGAAGATCATTTGAGCGTTTGTTCTAAGGTTTTCTCTTAATGAACACTGCGTCACTGAGACTGCGCATATTGTGCTTACACATGCGCCGAAAGTGTAAACCGTCTCTTAGGCATTTTGCCCGAATGAGCGCAACGTTTGAATTGACACTAGTTGCTCTGCTACCACGAGACAACATATTTTATGTCAGCATTATTACAAACAGTCCATTCAACGCAAGGAACTTTGAAACAAAAATGAATGAAAACCGCACAAACCGTATGCTGGAGAAGATGTTGGCGCCGCCAAACCGACTGTTGGTGGAGCTTGTGTTGGTGCTGAAAGAAAAAAGTCGAAGTCTCCGTCAAAAAAGGAATTGTTCTGTACTGTTTTGAAAACTATCTCCTTCCTGGTTCACTTCAAAATGGAAGTGTTAAACACAAATTTCATCTCCTTTTTTTCGCCTTTAACAACATTTACCGTTTGAAAACGTTTCTATTTCCCTTTCTGATCAAATTTGAAATAAATAACAACAGCCTTTCCCTTGCTCAATAATGGCCTTGCCCTGTTAAGGATCGTTCCATTCCTTTAATAGGTAGGCTTCCATTTACCCTCTGCTTTTATTGGTCTAAGTGAGTCTTTTGTCGAAGTACAACAACATGATACGTTTTTGCATCAAATGGAAACTCGGAAAAAAATCCGCGCCCCAGATCTAATCCGGCGGATGCTCTAACTACTGGGCTACAGACGAGCAAGGGTGAAATGTGGGTCTTTGACTAGAACGGCATCACGCAGTTACATAGTCAGATCACATAGTCCTCTTAGTTAAACGAAATGCTATTCGCTCCTATCGACGCTTACTCTTTCTCTCTACTCTCACTACCCTCACTGCCAGTGTATTATCCTTATTAGGGAGTTTAAGCAGCGACGTTTTGGAGCGACGCACGTCCACCGGAAGTGGACTGTTTGCAATCTTGAGCGGCGATTTTGAACACAGTTTTTGAGCAAATCGTCTCTATAAGAGTAAAGACACTTAGCAATCCAATTTGGTAGCGTCAAGGCATTTAACAAGAGAAAATCACGAACTTCCGGTTGACGTACGTCGCTCAAAAATGCCACGCGCCCTGAATGACTAATCAACCCTCGCGAGGCTAGGAGAAGGTGGATTACAATGTACTTTCATACCTTGACAAAGGCCACATTTCCTTTTACAGTTTTTAATCAGCCACTCAGATTGACAGGCATCCTCTGAGTATCCATCACAACTTTCATGATCTCTTGCAGCACAGGGACCTGATCAGAAGTTTGACACTGGAGTCAGACGACTTTCTCAAAATAACCCATTTCCCCACACCCCCACCTCCCACGGGCCATATTCCCCCTATCTCTCGCAGCACAGGGACCTGATCAGAAGTTTGACACAGGATTTAGACCACTCTAACAAAATAAACTCCCCCACCTCCCACAAGACACACTACCATTAATACCTCTTGCAGCACAGGGACCTGATCAGAAGTTTGACACGGGAGTCAGACCACTCTCCCAAAATAACTCCTTTCCCCCACCCCCACCTCCTACGGAACACACTCCCCTATTCGGCCTAAACGTAGACGTGCAGCTAAACTGGGTATGGTTTTCAAGGTTCAACATTGTCGGAGTACCAAGCAAGTCGGAGCAAGAGCAAAAGAAAATGGTTTTTCTTCTCCTTTTTGCTCTCGTCTCAACTTGATCGACGAACTTGCGAGGAAACCCTTCTGGGTTTAACAGTGTGTACACATTCACTATCAAGACTGTTTTGTTGTAAACGAGCTGAAGAAGACTAGAGAACAGTCTAAAAACTTCTGGTTATTAAAAAGAGCATCCTTTGCCGCTAATCTCGTAAATCGAAACGTTAAAAGACTCAACAGAAGTCCACAAGAAAAGTTATACGTTAGAAGATCGAAGAGACAATTAGGTGGATTTAAACTTAAAAGCTTTTTAACGGCTATTCTGAAAAAATAGGTTCCCCCGAAAAGCTTCGTTCTACTGTTTTTTCGCCAGAAAAGTCAACACAATTATTTTCATCCAAGGATGTTAAGCTCTCTCCTGAGCGCAAAATGATAAAACTTCTAACATGTGGTAGCTTGTTCCCGCCAAAACTAACACGCTTTCGCTTCTTTACGCGCGCACTTACCCTCGTCTTAGGGCCTGTTTACATGGAGGTGGGGGACCCCAGATAGGTGAGGTAACATGCGGCGGGTCACCCCACCTATCATGTAAACGTAATCAAATTAAAATGAGTGATTATGTGGACAGGCGGGTTACCTTACCTACCTGGGCTCTCCCACCTCCATATAAACAGGCCCTTAGAATCAAAAGGTCTCGGGAGCTTGGCAAGAAAACGAGACAACTTTGTTGACTGAAATTTTTATTCTTAGAGGGGGAGAGGGAGAATTTTACGATGATTTAAAGCCAATCCTTGTAAAAACGGATATCTTTGGACGGGCAAAAAAGGTTTAAAACACGATAAGTCTGGACGCGAATATTTTGACTGCGCAAATATACTAATGACTGATCAGCCGATGTAGTGTTTTAGAAACGAAATTCCAGCGCGAAGAGCAAGAAGATTTAAATTTGATCAAAACGCGTGCTGTGAGTTTTGGAATAACTTCAAAAGCAATGTCCCCGGGGATCGCATTTTTTTAATGTTCTTGGCTGAAGAAAACACAGAAACGAAACATGCAAATTACAAGAGAATGCAAATTGATCGTGAAAAGAAATACACAGTTCAAGCGTTTACTTGCGTTCAGGATACCGCTAACCAAAAGGAATTTTCCAAGGTTATGAACCGTACAAGAGGAAAGAAAATACTGGAGGACAGCGTCACTACATCTATCCTCGAGCCGACATAAAAGGCACTGAAAACTTTGACCGGATAAAAAAACTGGTAAGAATTGTTTGTAGCTTATTCTATGCTTGATAAACACTCGTCTCTTGCCTCCTGCTGTTTGGTGTTTTCTCAGTTAGAAAAAAATTCGTTCGTTTTATAATAGGCTTTGACTGACCATAGGTGTTTAATTGGTTCTATGCTGAATATCTTTCTCGGGCTTCTGAAGATTGGTATTTGGTATTCTATATGCAATTTACGCGGCATTTCTTTGTTTTAGTCACTCAACTCTGCAATTCCCTAATCTTCCCCGGAGCTGAATTCAAATCCCTCCTATAAAGTTTCACGTCAAGACAGATGAAGTGCATGTATAGGTAGTGCCTCATCTTTCAATCAGTATTTCCGATCGGTGGTTATTTCAAATTGCACAAACAATCTATCTAAAATTATTTGCAACATCAATAATATTATTGTTATTATTGTAACTGTACAGCTGTAGGCAACAAAAGCTGGTTCAAACGTTTCAGTTTTCCTGGGGCTTAACGAAATAGCATGCATTGCAAGAACTCTCTTAGGGAGGGGAGCAAAAGATGCTTGTTTATGAATATTTATTAGATGAAGTTTTCAGGGATACTCAATATCATTTTCAGGTAAGTGTTATAAGCAGAGCCCAAGGCCGAGGCCAAGACTTTGATTATTCCGGATATCACACTGCATACAATCTACAGATTAGTCACTAAACTGCTAGCAGATATTTAACTTCTCTGTAGGTTGCGCTGAGTTCCACAACTAGCCGTGGACTCTAAAATGTATAATAATGTTCATTATGCAATGGCTGATGTGTTTAATTGGGGAGAAGAGAAATAGTGAACCTTTCCACCACCCCCTTTGACTCATGCCAACTCCTCAAGCATGACGTAAAAACATTCATGCACTCGAAGAAAATGCTTTCAATGCAGGCTGCTTTAACACTGGAAATTTAGATTGTTTTATAGTTTAGTTGCAAGGAGCTAGTGAGCATGAATGATCAATTAATGCGTTAAGATTTAGTATTAGTGCGATGTTAGTATGGTTAAGGATGGCATAACTTTAGTGAATTCATTTACAAATAATGTGTACTTGTATGTGTATTTTAAAATGAAATGAGTGTTGTGTCAATTGATTGTGTACAGGTTATTTTACTCATATTGATTGTTAGTTTTAATTTAAATGTGCTTTTGATTTATTTTCTTGCACAACTCCTGAGGTAATCGATATTTTTGAAAAAAATGAATCAGTAGGAATCAATGACCTGCGGAATTTAAAATCTCACCTTCTTTTTCATCTTTTCCATTTTGTTCTAATCCTAAAATTGAAAGAGTTGATTGAGAGGGCAAAACGTTTGCACTTCAAATTCAAATAGTTAAACAGCAAAACCAGATCCAGTTTTAAAAGACCTGATATTACTACCTCATCTATTAGGTCTCTTGACTCAGCTCAATTAAATCAGTTTTCTGAGGACAACTTTTGATGTGCCTGTTATTTTGTTACCAATCAGAAGCATTTTTGTTCACACTAATGGTAGAGTAGGCTGAATATACAAATGTAATCGTCCACGTAAATGTAGTCCCAAATTTCCTGTTAGTGAGGCCCTCTTAGGGGGGTTACATATTGTATGTCCCAGTCTGAATTTCAAAACTTGTTGTTTCCTGTATTGAGGAAGGCAAGGAGCCATGTCACTGTCCGCCAGTATTCCACTGTTGTAACCCTTTAAGTCCCAATAGTGATCAACATCAATTTTCTCCTAATGATGTCCATACATTGGCAAGAAAAATGGTTATGAGAATTAATAAAATGCTCACCAAAGAGAAAATACCTTGATCTTTTATCAAATTCTCTAAACTTATTCTTAAAGGAAATGTATGGAGATCAGTTTGGAGAATTTGTATGTGGATATATTTGGGCTTTAAGGGATATTTGCACTTTTCTCTGTTGCTGTCGCAGTTTCAACCCATCTTTGTGTCGTTTGTCGCCATCTCTACTTCCCCTTTGTCACTGTTTCAAGGTCAAGTCGTCTGTCAAAATTTACCCTAACAGGGCCTCATTAGTGGCAGTGACAGACATTTTAATAACCTGTGCAGAAGTCATCACCTTTTGACATAGTTCTCGCTTTTTTTATTTTTACCAGTGGGAATAACTTGTTCAGAGAAGATGACAATACTGTAAATTGTTGGTAAAGCTGACAAAGGTAGGCTTGCTAACAGATGTACACTGTACATTATGAATGAAAAATCTTTTAAGTCTTTTACTACTTTTTCATGTTTATCTATGATTAAACACACATACATGTAGAATATAAAGAAACATATGTATTATATGACATTCCGCATGCATACATCAATGCTAGAGGTACACTACAAAGCATACGATATGTAACACTATGTCAGGTACATTCCAGGTAGTGTTTGCCAAGCCTTAATTTTGTTGATGACTTCTGTCCAGGTTTTCAAATGCTAACCACCATCACAAAAAATCCTATTTAGAACAACATTCACCTGTGTGGAATTGCACTCAACCTCAACCTTCTGTGTCCAAAAGATTGACAAAACTCTTAATATTACAGACTTTTACTTAATAGGCCATCCACAATAAGAAGGCATGATTAGCAAGAAGCAGTTAGTACGTTAGTAAAAAAGCTTCATCAAAGTTTTACTGAGTTAGAAGATTAGTAATGATCAGTAGCGTTATACAATTATTTTTTTTGTGAAGGTATCATTTTTAATCAAACCACAAGACAATATATATAACGAATACCAAAATATTTAAAATATTTAACATCCCATCACTTTAATTCACCTGTTTCCCCTTAATAAGTAATATCATGTATTAAAAAATGCTTAAATAATAAGAAGGTACTACTCGAATAACAATAAGATTGTCTTTATGTACATTTATCTGACAAAATGGCCTCAATCCTTAACCTGAACTTAAAATGTTTGTTTCATACTATTGTTTACCTTTTTATGATAATTTATGCACACATGTTCACAATATTCTAAATAGTATCAAAGTATTAATTTGCCAATAACCATTACAGTACTGTATATCATGCTACAGATTACAAACGATTATGAAATCTCTAAGCCTTAAATTTCTTGCTTGCGACCTCGTCATATCGGGTTGTTTACATCACCTTACCTTCACAGAAGCCACATTTTTTCTTGCAGTTTGCTTTCATCCACTCATTAGAGCAGCTTTCTGTTGAGAATCGACTGCATTCGGGGTCGTCTTTGCAAACAGCTGAAATGAAACGGAGAGCTGAAACTCGCACGAGTTGAACCCGGACAGCTGTGAAGTCATGCAGTCACCGTCCGTCGTTATTCTATTGTTATAGGATCCTTCGCTAAATGTGCATCATGTCGGTGCTCAGAAATCACATCGTTCTGTGTATGCCTGTTTTGTCGGCAAAAAGAACGATAAAACATCCTCGGTGCGAAAGATCTGTAATTTGCGCTCCACGTCCGCCAAAATCCATCCGCCATGTTTTGATGTGGTAGATCCCAGCTCACCGCAAACGTATGATACATAGGCACGCAATGCATATATAAAAGTCTTTCAAAAATCAATAATCATGAGTATCACGGGTAATTCAAAATCTTACGAACTTACCATCTTACTATCAATAAAACAGAAACTGAGATTGACGATATTCTGAGATTGGGCTACTTACGTCGGCAAAACTGGCATTTTCGGGGACAATTCAGTTGCACCCAGTCATCGTGACACTGGCTTGCTGAGTATCGTGAGCATTCAGTCTTGTCAATACACCATGGAGCTTAAAAATGACAAATTAAAAAATATATCACAATTCAAATTTCTGCCAGAAACGGTCCTACTTTTTGGCAGTAACTCAAGTATGCGTACAACCATATCACCCGGGCAGTGGCAGCCATCAATCGCGACCCCAGTGCTTACGCAATCTGCCCAGAAGAGCTCTGGGGTCGAGATTGTGGCAGCTACTTACAGCGGTTTTGCCCTTGCTGGGGTTTATCAGCATATGGCATAACCGTCAGAGTTCTGTAGGGTCAAAACCGGGTTCAGAGCTGCTCATGGCTGCACCTTTCAGGTGATGTGAGGTATTGAGGTATGAGAGTGTCACTTGCTGTTTCGTTTGACTCATTCTACTGGATTGAAATTGGTTCATGTATGACCCTATATCAAAAACGTGAGTCAGAGACCTGGTATAGAAAGTCCAATAGGCCACCGCAGTTAAGTCTACAACCTAATTTTGTACTGCGTAATATTAAATCTATTTGCAAGCTGTTTTAGTTTTTCTTGTTTTGGTAGTTTCCTGGTTGTATATACGCATGACAGCTTTGGATAAAACAAGTACATTTTAGAAGAAATGAATTTCTGTGGTTGGGCCACAGCTAACGTTATAGTAACCATGGAAACTAAACTACTTTTCCACCTTATCAGGTGGTTGGAAACCAAAACTGTAAACTAGTATTTGCTCTTTAGGTGAGTCGCGTACCTTCCATTAGACCACCTAGAATTCCTTGCGAACGTTTTGACTCTTCTTATTTATTCTTACCCTCTGGTATTTCGAGTACAGTTGTTCCATTTTGCACAGACGCCTTAATATGATTCTTTGATGGTCCTTTGACCTTCACCTGAGCCTTTTCTTCATCTTCGGCTTTTATCTTGGAGGGTAAGTTCACTACAATCGTCTCGACCATTGGAGCCTTTTTCTCGGTCTCATCTGCCAAGGCAGGATTTCCATTCTCGCCCTTGATGTTCACCACGACAGGTTTCCGTGAAGTTTCTAGAGATTTTGTTACCTCTGATGGAACAGTCACGGTCAGCTCGGTGTAAGGCTTTTCCGTTGCAGCTTGGCCTGGAGTTGACCCTCCAGTTGCTGTCTCTGAGAGATAAACAAAGAGGTTCTACTCATCATGTTTACGATCTTCTCGTGACCGATAGTTGGACCGGAAAGGCATTATGGTAACGTTAAAATATCGCCGTTAAAACTACTTTGCTTTCACCTTGAGTTGTAAACAATATTATCTTTCTATGCGCAGGGCTGCCGACAGAATTTGAGATCTCCAATCACCAAGTCCACCAAGTCAATGTCCTTCATGTTTTCTTATAGACTGCTCTCCCTACAGCCCCTTAAAGAAACCAATTTGACTAAGAGGAGGGGTCTGAAGGCGTAACCTCGGGTATTTTAAGCAGATTTTTTTAGTTTTCAAGTTCTCAAGTTGGTATTTATAAAAGATGGTAGGATTTAACCATATATAAACGCAACTAAGAGGCATGAGTTCATTAGTCTCCGCCAAGCTTAGAGAACAAACACTTGTCACAAGTGACCCCTACCATCTTGGCATTGCCAAACGGAATGGAAAGTTTAAAAAATAAGTTCCGTTGGTGTGCCATTTAAGTTGCCTATGAACACTAACATGGCTGCTGTGATGTCATGGGTATACGCCCCATTAACTAACCGTTGCCACATATCCTGCATTTCCTGGGACAGTTTATTTTTAGCCAGTCATCACTGCATCTGTTTTCTGTGTAATTGCCACAGGCTGGGTCATCGTTGCACCATGATTCTACGAAAAATCAAATCTATTAAAATTTCGTTTGACAGATTTCTATCATGAAATAATCGAACTGCAACGAGATTCGGACTCGTCATCTTTCGATGCCATAATTTGTACGAACGCGTAAACCATTTACATACAACTCTTCTTAGCTAAGTCAGCTAAATAATTATCCAACACATTAATGCAAATCGTGCAGCCTTTATTGGCATACGAGAGTTCCAAAGCTTGCTCAATTAGCAGACTAATTGAAGTTGCAAGATTTCCTTCCACCTCTCGGCAGAAACCCTAAAATTGTCATTATGGTGTCATAAGCTCAGACCAACTTTGTCCTCAATCCTTTACCATAAAAAAATGAGAGGGAATAACACTGGGGACGAGGTTAGGGTCAGACAAAACTCATGTCACTATATAAATCACCATGACAACATTGACTAGCCGGAGAATATTTCACACATCTCGATATGGATCTGGATTGGCCTTACAGGCTCGGAGAGGGTCACATGGAATTAATAAACTATTCAATTCCACTGAACGTTTCTTGCGATGCTTTTCTTCATGAATATCTACTATAAAGAGCTGTGGGGAGGAACTAATAACAATAATAATAATAATAATAATAATTCCGTTATTTACCCTCGGCAGTATTTACAGCACTATAAATGCTAGTGGGGCCGAGCAAATGGCTGAAACAAATAACTCAAATTGAACTTAACAGGGTTAAGAATCCCAACTTGGACGGAGGCAAAGCAGCTGGCTATTCGCAAGCATGGCAGAGGATTTGAACTCGGGACTACCGAAAACAAATCCAGCCAGGCGGGACTTGAACTTGGGGCCCCCGAATTGCAAGTCCAACGCTCTAACCACTTTTGGCCACGCTTCCTAATTTGTTTATCATAGCTTATTGTTAATATTTTGTTTATTATAGCTTTTGTTATTGTAGTCACTAATTTGTTAATTATTGTTTCATAAGTTATATTGACTTCAACTATTGACCGGATAAGACCACTATACTTACCATAAATACTTGGTGAGTTCGTAGTATTTTGTACCTCGACAGCTGAAAAAAATAGAATACGGTAAACTTCATTCTGTTTAGGGCAAGAGGAAAAGCAAAAATTTCGCAATTCGTCAGTTTCAGCATACATTTCGAACATTTCTATTTGAAAATTTAAAAGCGAACTCTCATTGAAATTCAATGATGAGCATTCTAATTTTTTTATCCTCTTACTGGCTTAAAACCGGTCGACTTTTCTCCCCATACTTTGTTTAAGCCGATATGATAGTTCAAAGGCGAGCATTTCTGTCAGAATGCGTGCGCAGTTTGCAATAGAATTATATTAGAGTTTTATCCAATACTTCAGATGCAGCTCTCCACTCTGACCCTTCCTGCAGAACCGAACTCTACCTCGTTAGCAAGAAAAATTGCCCTTTTAATGATTTTGATTGAACAGATCCTAAAACGAAGTAATCTGATAACCTTAATGACAAATTGGCGTCATCCTTAAACCAAATTTTTCTGAGGCGTCGATGGTCGCTTATGGAAAATATGGATATGAGTATCAGATTTAGTAAACCTTAAAATAAGGCATAGTAATCAGAATCACATTTTTAGTCGGTTTTTACTTTTTCAAATACAAGGAGATCATTAGATACGAACGCAATCCCCATCCCTGCAATGACTGGAATATCGATTTTGTGACAAAGCAAACGGACCTCGATTATTACTGGTTGACGCAAATTTCACCTCGATGAAGACAGATCTAAACTTATGCAAACGACTCTAGCTGTTAAAGACAGAAATGCAAAAACGAAGTTATCTGTACGGTGAATATATTTTGCAACCTAGCTATCGGATCGTATTTAAGGTCAGTGCATATTTAACGTTTTGACTATTTTCGAGATACCCGAACAAATTATGACACAACAAGCTTACTTTGTGAGGAGACCCTAAGCGGAAACAGCAGCAGCAGGTGAAAGAATAAAGTTTTTTCCATGTTTTCCTTGCACAGTTTCCTTTACCATTTTACACAGCTCTTACATGGCGTCAAGATCACAAAACACCTCCACGAGCCTTGCTTTCATTAACATTAATGCACCATTGGCCGGTGCGCGAAACATCCATCTTTCGCCACCCGCAATTACGCAGAAAATATTTCTATAAAATCTGGAGAAGATCTCAGTGCACACAATTGATCTCTCGCAGGACAAAAAGATTTCGTAAAAGACATCGATTCTGTTGGTCAATAGGTTAAGTCAAAACTAAGCCGATACTCGACAGTGAATGCTGAGCTGCGAAGAAACCACTGCTTATCAAAAAACAAAAAAGATTTCTTAGTCGCAAAGTATCTACCGGTTTTAACACCTAGTGATTATGTCACATATTTATTTTAATGCCGGATTTACTGCTTTAAAGAAGAGTGGTCCAATATATAAAGTTTGTGGTGCTCTCAGGTTCGAGTTTTTTGGTTAAATGATGAAACAAGCCACGATTTCGAATCAAGTAATTTCGATTTTGTGTCTTAGTTTGAAAACTCGCTTCATACATAATCATGACAAACTTGAAATAATTCCTGTGATACTGAGAAACGGAGACCTTAAACCTTAAACCTGAAAAGTCGATTTGGACTAAAAGCCCTCATAAATATGTAGTCATGCCAACTGGGCTTGAAAGCTTTGGGCTTTGGGTCTCGGGTACACAGAAAAATAACATAAGAGAGACTTAAGGTTGATTTTCCACTGACGCGTTTTTGGCAACGTGCGTTAACGCACGTAAAATGATTTTAATCACGTAAATAAAATAGGGGCAAGATAAAAAGAGCTGAGCTTAATCGATAAGTTGAGCAACGTTCAACTTTTACGCTTACGATCGTCCTCTCATGCATTGCCTCTATCATATTGGCGAACGTAAATGTTACGCACGTAAAAATTACGCGACACTGGAAATCACGTTCATGGCAAACGGCAAAAGTAAAAGGAAATAAACAGCTCAAAGCTCCGCAAAATCACTCTGATGAATGAAGCTGATCTGAAACCGTAGTTATTTGTGTACAGATGCATGTAAGAAAGATTAAACGAAAAGTAACGCGCGGGACGCTTGGTCACATGGTACAAGTTGACCCTTGCCGTTTGCCGTTAACGCAATTGCGTTCGACAGAGCGCATAGTAATCTGGTGTCCCTGTGGGACTAAGGAAGAAATGTTTGAGCTGTCAAGGGCGACTGCAAATTAGCCGCCCCTATTAATTTTATCAGGGGCACCTCGGACTCCTTTCGACTCGATTTCGTTTCCGTAATTTTTCCGTAAGTGACGAACGCGGATCCGTAATCAATGATTACATTACCTCTAGTTCTTCATCTCTCTATTGTTAGGTTAGGTCCTGTCGCTGGCTCAATAATTAACAATCATTTCCGTTCGAAGGTACAAGCAAAAGTTTCCTAGTTTCCGTTAAAAAAATCACAAAGCCATTCATTTACGTTTTGACATGTAACGCACAACAATAGGGACCCTTCTCGAATGCTGTTGTCACAAGTATACGTATTACAATGTAACTACTTACGTTGCTGCTGCAGAGTCACATGAGGCTGCTGTGTCACAGGTCCAGCAGTTACCGCATTGTTCATAAAATTCACAGTAACATTCTGATTCGGTGCGGTAGGAACCATATTTGTGGCATTTTTGATAATATGGTCAACCACTCCTCCCTCGAACGGATTGACCACCCCTGGGCCGGTGGGCATAGGAGGAGCTGGAGTCGCCAGAATATGCGCAGTGGCGCTTGTTTGTGGGGCGTTTTCAACAGCCACGGGTCCCTCGACAACCAAAGGACTCTCGTTTCCGTGAATAACGAGTGGCGCTTCACTAGGGGCAACATTTTTGGCTTCCTGTACCACCGATGGTACCCCAGCTGCGGCCGCATTTTCTGTTTCGTGTACCAGCAACGGTGCCCCAGTAGAGACAGGACCTTCGGTAACCACAGGGCTCTTAGTTTCGTGTACAACAATTGGCTTCCCCATGGAGGCAGCATTTTCTGTTTCATGTACCACCAACGGTACCCCATTAGAGGCAGGACCTTCGGCCACCACAGGACCCTCGTTTTCGTGCACAACAATTGGTGTCCCTGTGGAGGCAGCATTTTCCGTTTCATGTACTATCAACGGTACCCCGGTGGAGGCGGGACCTTCCATTACCACAGGACCCTCGTTTTCGTGCACAACAATTGGTGTCCCTATGGAGGCTGCATTTTCTGTTTTATGCACGAGAACAGGTACCTCTACAGCTTTTCCCTTTTCCTTTTCAAACGATATTCTAATTTTTTCATGTTCTTCTCCTTTCGGTGCCAAAGATAATACATTTCCATCGGTTGATGTTTTATTTCCAATAAATGAGATCTTGATATTTTCCGCATTTCCTTCCCCCGGGGGGTGTATAGAAATTTCCTTTACTCCTGGTACTGGTTTCTTTTTATCGATGAAGGAAATCCTAATATTCTCCACTCCATTGTTTTCTAAAGGTTGGGCTCTCTGTGGTACTTCCACAACCCAATCAGGCGTCTGCTTAATTTCTAAGACTTCCACTTCCTCTACGGGTACGACCGGAAGTTCGTTAGCATTCATAACAACCACAGGTGCCTCAGTGGGCTCAAGCGAACCTGTATGAACCGAAAGTGCTTCTGGGGGCGTTGACGAGTCATAAACGCCGACCTGTGAACCGGAAGTAGTGCTCTGCGAGACCGGAAGCATGGATTCGACAAAGCTTTCCGTCTTGTTGTATAAGTTATAAGATGGAAAATCTTTAATCGGAACGGAAACTTCCGGGTAAATTGTCTCATTAGCAACTTCCTTCGTTGCTGCGAATGGTGTGGTACCTTGCGGTACTCTTGGGTAGGTGAAGTTGCTATTAAGCGCCACCTTTGAAGTGTCTGGAGCAGTCGTGGGAGAATCCTCCCATCCCACTAAGGGGTTTACTGTTGGCTGTGCTGCCACAAAGCCCTCAACTTTCTCAGTCTGTTTTGGAGCTAATGATTCTCCTGTAGGAAAATGAAATGTTCTACCGTAAACATATGGCTAATAGGAAGGTATGCAACAGATTAAAACGAATTAATGACAACATTAAATTTTTTCAAGGTCAATTCCAGTTAATCTCATTATTAGCAGTATGCAGGATGTTTGTCTTATGTTGGACTTCTGTTGGAAATGCTCGGAAAAATTCTATTAAGCCACTTTTATCACTAGCAGAAAAAACGTTTTCCTCAATTTAATGCCTAACAGACGTTTTTGCTTGTCTCGAAGTTGGAACTTGTCATTTACCAGTTTTTTCAGTTTGCTAACATAAACCTCCAAAGAAAGTAAGGGCGAACGGGCAATACTAAGGAAAATTGACTGGATTGTAGTGAAAAAGCTCCTTTATCAAAAACGACAATAATAACAAAATTCAAGAATTGAAAAGTAGCGAACTCACCCTTTCCGCAGTGTCCACATAGTTTGGGACAGTTGAGGTCAATCCAGTCGTATGACTCACAATGTTCTGCTCCGTACATTGCGCATGCGTTATGATCAACGCACCACGATTCTGCGTAAAAAAGAAGAGTGAAGAAAACTAAGTACACAGCAGAAAGCCATCAGCCGGAGAGCACATTACATCTGTCATGTAAGATTATCTCACAGCAAGTGTTAGTGTTTTTTCTTCCTCAGCAGCAAACTCAGTCAAACAGAAAGGGGTAAATTTTGCTTAAGAATGACAGATAAAATCTAAAAAAAAGTCTTTACGGAAGACGACAAACTCTGTTGTTGAATCATACAGAAGTCTGTGAAAAAAGGGAAAATCGCAAGCGAAAAAATACTGCAGCGCGTCAAAACATTTATCAGTAGCAGATAGACATGATTTAAAAGCCAACTATTAGGAATATTTGACTGCTAAAGACCGTGAAATAGCATAGTGCCCCACTTTTTCATTAAAAAAACAGCACACAGTTTCTTCATGCATTGATACATTTATTACAGTGGTTTTCAGACATATTTAGTATTGAAATTAATATATATCTTTTTTCGAGTCTTTCCAAGATACCTTTTGGGCAAGAGCACCTTCCTACTCTGTCATTGATAAAGGTACCTAATTTTGAATTTAGCAGGATATTAGCATTTTTTTTTGATAAAATTTGTAAATAAACCTGAATCAGAGATAATAGCATTTAAAGTATGAGACAAGAGGGAGAAGCAGGGATAGAGATGCCCGGGTGCCGGTGCGGACGGGGCGGGGAGGGGGGTTACCCACCCAACCACACTACAGTGGACTCCCGATAACTCAAACCTTCAAGAGAAATCGAACAAAGTTCAAGTTATCGGGAGCTTGAAGGAAATAAGCAAATGGATGGGAAGGAAAAGTAATTAAGCAACTGAATTTGAACTGGAATGGCAAAAAAGTAAAGACAAAGAATTTACTGAGTTTTTTTGAAATAAATTCAATGTTTCGGACTTCAGTAGACGGTTTTTTTCCTAACTTGTCACGCACTTATAATATGGTTCGAGTTATCGAGGATAAAATTGTATAGAAATGAGCTGCGAAGGGAAACAAAAATTACGTCGAGTTAGCGGGAGGTTCGAGTTATCTAGGGTTCGAGTTACTGAGGGTAAAATTACAATAAATGTAAGAAGGAAATCGAGGGGAAATCGACTTTGGTTCGAGTTAGCGCGAGGTTCGAGTTAGCAAGGGTTCGAGTCATTGGGAGTTAACTGTATTTACAAAAGTCATTTCATACAGCATTTCTTGTCCGAAAGGCTTGAAAAATTTTTGTGCCATGTTGAAGTGCAGACTTTTAACGAGAATATGTGGCACGGAAGCACAGAATGTGGATGCGAAGCTACGTTAAATCTTTAAAGAAAATCTTTTAAACCGGAATCTTTGTCGGGTTATTTCGTAACTAAGGTTCTCCTTGTAATAGTCTCAAGTCCTGTTTTCCTCAGTTTTGAAGGGTTGCTCAACTGAACATGGAAAGTTTATTTCCAAAGTTTACAGGCCTGCTCGATCAATGATTATGTTAATATCAGTGTAATATAGTTACCAAAACTTAATTCAAGGAGGGACAACACCCGTCTTTGATTAGTTTTAGTTGCCTATCATCTGAAACCTTAATAATAACTTCTGTGTCTGTCTTGAAAGCATCTACAAGACTCTACAATAATATGCATTCAAAAAACTGTGTTATTTAGAGTTGAAAGCAGCTTGTACTTTACGGGTAAAAGGTTAATTTTTTCACGCTAAGTTGCTTGGGTAACTGAAGCGATCAAGCATGTCTGTTGAACTCATTCAAACAAATTTATCAAAATCATATAGCAAACGTTTAGCAACGAACCATGGCATAAACGCCTCCAGCTTAAAATTGTATATCCTCTGCTTCTTATGATCAATTTTTATAGTCAAAGTTATGTTTACCAAGATTTTTTTCAGCTACTAAAATAATCGATTTTTCTGGTGGCACTATTGATTCTCTTGTTACACCAGTTTCACTCCATCCTCGCAAGTATATACTTTATAAAAAATTCAAGTGCTGGCGAGAAGAAAATATGTCAGAAATTTCGAAACTGCTTAATGGAAATGCCCTATTTTCGCATAGAATGGCGTAGACTTTGTGAGTCAAAATGCTGGAAAGCATTTTGAAGACAGAATTTAGAATATTGATTGACAAAAGTTTTGATTTGAAGACATCATACCTAATGGTCAGTTATAATAATGTGGCTCATGATGTCACATAAAGAAATTCGGATTCAATCAAATTTCTCTTTACCATAACCCCAAACCGCAATCATATATGTCTATTTGTCCCGGTCTACGTAAAAGTTGTTGTTGTATTTTCAAGCTGTTCGTAAGAGTCAGTTTGGGATCTGTCAAGTATTAAATTTTCTCCAATTGCATAACGAGCGTGAGGAGTCGCTGCGCTTACCGTTAACCTTCGCAATTAAGGGTAATATTCACAAATTACGAAAATAAGTTTTAACTTACCGTCCGAAGCGATCGTGGTTTGGAGAAAATGAACTATAAAAAAAAGTCGGATCCACCTTGAATTCTCCATTGCTAGTTGCTTTTCTCCAGAAGTGGCTAATATATCCTCTCTTCACGAACGAGAGAAATGATGGCAAATATTAAGTTTGCCCTGATTTCTCTCGCCTTCTTTCCTGAGCTCTACGAAAAAATAGGATTTAGCTGTTACTCATTGTATTTTTAACAAAACTTTACGGCAACCGTTAGTGTTCTAAAGATGGAAAATAAGCGGACGAATCATTTTGTCAAAGTTCTGTTTGCATTTTGGCGGTTTCCTCTAGTTACCAGTCGTCTTGAATGGTGCTTTATTGATTTCGTCAAATGTTAGGTGACCGGTTTGATCCAAAAGGGGTTTGATTTCGAAGTAGTATCAAAATAAATTTTACCTTTCGTCAGCCTACTTTTAGAATTTGAGAGAAAACGAACTATTACAAAAATTTCCTCTTTATATTTTCAATAACCCTTTTACCTTAAATTACCTTCCTCGAGTTAGCGGTTATTTTAATTGAAATCACGATATAGTAGTTCGTTTATCGCGTACGATTATTATTTTGTTGTTTCACGTTTTCGCTTCAAGCTCTTGAATTTTACGTATTTCTTATCAGAGAAGTCAAACGATGGCTTTTTCTTTACAGATCGAAATTAAGGAAACTATGATTTTCTCAGTAAATGATCAATCAAATATATAGAACAGTTATAACTTTCTAGCGTCGGAAGATACGAAAACAAAGACAGATTAAAATATATGTTTTCAATCTTACCTTTTAAAGATGGGGGTAAAATTTGTCCTTAACTTCTGTCACGTAACCACTGAGTTAAACGTCGCCCTCATTTCGCTGTATCACATCCAACGACATTTTTTCCCTTAAACTTCAAAACCAGCAAATAATATATTCTTTTGTTAAGAAAAATGCGAGCTCCGGATTGACGCATGCGTGTTTCCCAGGCCACGTATATAATCAAATAAGGCATCGACCGTTTGCGCATGGTCGGTGCCCCTCTCTGGGATGTTACTGGTGGAAGTTACTAGAGAACTCTTAAAATTTCTGGTAGTGTCACGGGAGTGACAAACGACGATTGTATTTAACTGGTTCAGCACTTTATCACTCATTACATTGCAATGGCTTCTTTGCTTCACACTGGCTTTCGATTCAGAGGATTGAATCGTCTTGCAATGGACACACGCCGGGTAATATGAAGAATGAAGTCAGTTTAAGAATCTACATTTAGACTGACAGTAATTGCTTGATGCAGTAATAAATAGAGGAAAATTAAGGATTGTTTTAAACCTAATTTACTTTTTCACTGAATTCAAAGCTACGTTTGGTAAGGAGAAATGCGATTTCTGTGATTCTTAACCTAGCATTCCAACATAATAAACTACTAGCTGACTCCGTTTTTTAAAATTTCTATCGACTAGCCTTAGCACTCAATTTTTTGTTTACAACTATCAATGAATCACAAAAGAAACATAGCGACCAAAATAAGCGAATAAATTTAACGGGTTTCCATGTTTCATCTGTTCAGTTTGTTGTCTTTAAAGATCAAGGATTACAAGCGAAAACAGCGAGTGTTTCAGTGTTGATGTTTGTAATTACCGTGGCCTTTTAACCGACAGGTTTTTTATTGAACGAGCTAGTGTCTAGTACATCGATAAACTGGTAGACTGATATGAATGTATCTATTAGTGTCTGACCCTTTCAGTCATTTTAATGGCCCAGAAGTACTGAAAAGAGCGAGTGCTTAATTTGCTGCCAACTGTGTAAACTTAAGAAATTAGAAAGAAATTATGGCCATCGCAAGAAATTAAAAATCGTATATACAGTATAACTTTCAGAAGCAACAGCTATAAAAAAGCTAGCTTTTATCTTCAGGGTTGACCATAATTTTGACAAGTTATTACACAACCTAGCTGTAAGGATGAGAGGCAGTGATCTGAAGTGGTGTGAGCACTCAGTAGCGGACGCTATATAGGGTTGACTTTGTGTTGGTTCTCTTCCTTGCTCAGAGAGGTTTTTTCCGGTTACTCTGATATTTCCCCTCTCCACAAAGACTTAGTTAACTTATGCAAATTCCATTTTGGTCTGAAAAAGGTGATACCAGTAAATTGGGAATACTTTAAGTTAGTATTACTACTCGCATGTTTTGTCTAATGTTTTCCTCTCTAAGCAACGTTTGTTTGTTTTGGTTAGATAGTGGTCTTTCCTAAAGGAGCAATCTTTGCTATTGACAGGTGCTGATTGCCCTTTTCATTCTCGGCCTCAGTAATTTGGCTTATAAATTCGATATAATAAAACGCCGTACATAATGCGCGATCTCAGATCGTGCGCAATTACAGCAGCCTCAAGAGAAAGATACATACCCTGGAAAACAGGTTATTGTGAGATCGTAATATACTCGATGTAACCCGATGGTGGAAATGACATGAATTGAAATATATTAAATAAGTCATATTTTGAACCGCAGAGAAATATATGAAAGTAAACACGATCTTCGCAGTAGAATGATAACAACCTGAGTGGTTGATAAAGAATAATGCGTTGTTAAACACATTAAAGCCTTCTCACATGTGTATTTATGTTTCAGTTTTATTTGATACCTTGCAAACATGTTAGTTCTTTTTGATCCAAAACGAAAAATTGAGGCTGTAATTTTTTTACATGTAAAAAGGAAGTTCATCTAGGAAAGTTTTAAAAGTTCCTTCTAAAAATTAAGGCCGCAAGAGGTGAAAACGCAATTCTTCGTTAATTTTCTTAATATTAGATCTTCGTTAGTAAAACGTTACTATTGTGTTTATTTATTTAGATTTCCTTTCTATATTTTAAACTTTTTAGCGTATAATTCAAACAATATTCTCTTGTAGCCTGGATTTCAACCGATTACTTCGAGTCGTTATTACTCCCTCCGGTCGATTCAGACGTTACTGAGGGAGTAATAACGACACGAAGTAATCGGATGAAATATCAGGCTACTTCTCTTGGACATTGGAGCCCTAATAAGATCAGTAGACGTGATGTAAATCAAACTAAGCACGGCATGTTTGCGGATCCAAAACAGTAAAAAAACTCAAAGAATCTCAGTGAAGAAAACTCAATTTTGATCCTTGAAAAATCTTTCAAATATCCTTCACAACTATTTTTAACTGAGTGTGCAGTTTAGTCTTGTTTCGTTTCGAAGTCTTGCCCACAGCGCGCTCCATATTTAGAGCTACATCCATGAATACTTCGAGGACAGAATAGTACCCAATCGCTACTTTTATTTTCTAGCAAAGGAATATGGAAAGAAACCTGACGCGCCCAATGGCGCTTGGGAAGGAGGGTCCTTCCTTCCCTTGATGCACCGTGAACTCACTAAGTAGTTACAATAATTTAATCACATTTCCAATGGAGAGAAGCAACTGGGTCGAGTATGACTAGGGGAAGGGAGGGAGGGGATTCGCTGTCATGAACTATCCTGAGTAATATGACCCAGGATACGCGTTATTTTGATACTGTTGTTGGCTCAAGTAGTAGCTGTCTTGTCCAGCTGAGTTCTGCGCCTGCGAGTCCTGATACTGTTGGTCAGCTGCGTTGTTATAATACCCATTAGCTGTGTTCTGCGCGTTTGAATGCCCATACCGTTGGTCAGCCGCGTTGTTATAATACCCATTAGCTGTGTTCTGCGCGTTTGAATCCCCATACCGTTGGTCAGCAGTGTTATTATTTAACATATTATATCCCGCCGTGACTTGTGAGTAGCTCTGTTGATCGGCTGTGTATGGGGACTGGCTCCGACTTTGGTATTCATTCGTGGTTGAGGCTGCTTGGTAACCGTACGAGGCTTGGTTACCCGGTTGATTGTAATAGTAGTAGTTCGACGTGGACGCCCTTGTATTGTCGTTTCCTTGGGCAGCAGCCGCTTCTGAGGAAAAAAGACATCGAACATCAAAACTGCCACATCAACACCCTGCAGACCTGAATGGTTTCTTTATTAATTATGCTTTAAGACAAATTGTTATTACACAGTCTCTGTATACCATTGCACTACAAACGTTTAACCCGACCTACTAACCTTAACAAGCAATCGCTTCATTAGGACCATTTATGAGAGAAAAAATAAGACGTCAATTTCTTGAAAAATGCATGAAAAAATGTCTTCTGTTAAATGATACAGTTTTTGACTCATCAAGACACGCCTTATGTCAGTAACAAGACGCGTCTTGTAAAAATGTCTTTTGATATATAACCAAACAGATTCAAGACAATATTTGTTAAATAACTAACAGTGATATAAAAATAAGCATCATTCAGCTGTCACAAAAAGCAAATTATTAATGAAAGTTTACCATTCGTCCTGTTAAGAGTCTCATTTGCTGGGCCAAACCAAGACTCTGTGGTTGTAATATTGTGATTCTCTTGAAGTTCTGTTGTGGTGACTTCATGTACGGCCTGATTTATAGCCTGGGTCTGGCTGGGATCAATGGTGGTCTGAGTAGCAGGAAATGGATACCAGGGGTATGGGCTTTCTGTGGTTGATTGGGCTGGCGGTGCCACCTGAGAAGGTTGTGGTACTGGCTGAACTACCAGGGGTGGGGTTCCGCCTTCTGTCGGTAACTGAGTAGGTTGCGCAACCTGGGATGGCTGTGGTTGTGGCTGACCTATCACTGGACTTGCGGCTTCCATGGGCGACTGACCAACTTGTACTGCCTGGGATGGCTGTGGTTGTGGCTGAGTTACCAGGGCTGGGGTCCCGCTTTCTGTAGGTAATTGGGCTGCCTGTGTTGCTAGGGATGGCTGTAGTCCTAAGGCTGGAGTCGTACCGGATGTGTACGTCATACCAACAGATGGACTTCCTACAGCTGCTGACTGTATCGGTGCTACGGACTAATGTTGTTTTGAAATTGTTCATTTAGCATTATTGATTTCACCCACAGAAGAGTTTTGATTGGGAATGCCCAAGGGAAGGTCAAAGGTTTGTTGGAAAGATTTCTCGTACCCACCTACCCCTCCCCTAAGCTATCATTTTGCCCAAAGTGAGAAGTTAGTGTTAATGTTAGTTTAAGGGAGGGGTAGGTGGGTAGTTTCCCAGAAACCTAATAAATTGATCCGATTTTTCAATAAGGACCTTTAGCAACAATGATGGTGACAACAGAGAGAAATGCGTCGTTTATAAAGTTAAGTCGCTTTCTTTTCAGCTTCAAACTTCAACACGGTTATTCTAAGTCGCTCAATTAACTGTAAAATATAAGCGAACTATCCTGGAATAGAACTTTTAAAGTGTATAAGACAAGAACTTTCTTGTAGTTTTAAATTCTTGTCTAAAATATGTATCCGAAATTGCCTCCTTTCAGTAGATGTAATCAATCTTGTTATGTTACTTTTTATTTAGTTGTTAAACACAATAAATATTCCATACTTTAGACTATTGAAATATCCACAACGTATACAAAAATGTTCAGAGCAACATGGGAATCTCACTTCTAAATGAATGAATGCAAGTTCTTTGAAGTTAAGGTACTGATTATCGTTCTCACCTGTCCAGGCAAAACTATCCCCTGAGAAGCCGATTGATACAAGGGTGTTCCTACCATCGTCTGTCCCGCAGGTGTACCAGGGGCTGTCACCTGAGGTACCACAGAGTAACCAACACTCGGAGAAGGAGACGGTATGTAAGATTGCGCCGCTGTGGCAACCTCAGATGTGGCTGCAGGCTGTGTCCACGTGACAGCTGGAATCCCTGGAGTAGGAACAGCAGCGACGTTTGCGGCATTTGACGCGGGAACGGCGACGCTTGCCCCATTTGATGGCGATGGGACAAGATACGGCGATGATGAGCTTTCACCCTCTGAGGTCACATTGTTAGCTGCTTGTTGAGCAAGGGCGGATAATGTCTCTGATTTTCCGGTCTCTGTGGTCACATTATTAGCAGCTTGTTTAGCAATGGCGGATAACATGTCTGTTTCCTCGTCCTGAAGACCATGATTTGCCTTTTTACCATGGTGACGGTTGAATCTCAAAGCATATCGTGCATCACCTTTATCTAGAAAAGAAAACTTAAATCTTAAGCTAAGTCATAAGGTAAATCTGCCTCATCAGGAGTTCCTGCCCTCATTCACTTCACCTGTCGGAGTCTTAAGATAACTTACTGGTGTTTCAAATTTCAGTTAGATTCCAAAATTGAGATAGACAGTGGTAAAGGGAATGGTAGGAGGCTTAGTTTCGACTGCGGTTGCCTAGGCCATAGCAGTTACAGTAACGAATAATCTCGCTTAATGTTCGCTAGAAGTAAAAGAATTTAGCATTGATAATAATAAATAAAAGGGTTCATTTTACCTGAGACTGTTCACAATTAGTAAAATCCAACTAGTGGTCTATTATCAGTGCTGAGTTCTGATTGGTTGAGCTACTACTAGGCTATGTGTAATAGCCCACTAGTAGCGAAAAGCGCCAGGTTTTTAGCGGCAAAAAAGGATTCAAGTCTAGCTTTAACTAGCTAAAGTTGTTTTGTCTCGATATTTTTGACCAACTAGTTGGATTTTACTAAAACAATTATTCCTTTCGCCCTCATGGCCTCTTCGGGCTGGAGGAATAATTGTTAATTAAATCCTTGCTCTATTCATGACTGAGCTTCTTCCCAGGAACCGAAAAGTACTTCATTACCTATACATTCTCCCCAGACTCCGTCGTGATCAAAGTCAGATGAGATAGCGCACCATGGATTGCTATGATCTTGATATGTGCAGGTGAAGTACTTTATGCCGTGATAGTTGAACGGGAACACACAGCATCCACCATTGCCGTTGCCGCCTGCTGTCCAGACTCCACACGACGTTCCTATAAAATATAATGAGAATGAACTTGATCCTGGCTGGAATCTTGACAGATTTCCTGGCGAAAAACGCGGCCCATAAACCTAGCGGATAACTTGACAAGAATCTTAGTGGGAGATCCCGGAAGGAATCTCTCTTGGGACATTCCTGGCAAGAACGGCTTGGAAACTAAAATTTGATAGCATTTTGTTTTGAATAAGGGTATAGGCATGATTTTCAGTGGAACATGCCTAGCGAGCGTAAAAAACGAATCCAGTCTGAGGATTAATGAGAGAGGGAAAATTTTATATATTTAGGCATGACAAAATTCAAGGGAACATTGGTACTTAGAAATAACATCTCATAGGCATGGAAAAAATGGGTTCATGCCCTCGCAGCCCAAAATTGACCCAGCTAAACTTAGGTCCCAGATCTCTCGCCGGGTTAATAATTCATTCCCAGTTTTAGCTCCTCTGGTTTGGCATGCCGGGCATGCCGATGGTGAAGCCATTTNTGTCCAGACTCCACACGACGTTCCTATAAAATATAATGAGAATGAACTTGATCCTGGCTGGAATCTTGACAGATTTCCTGGCGAAAAACGCGGCCCATAAACCTAGCGGATAACTTGACAAGAATCTTAGTGGGAGATCCCGGAAGGAATCTCTCTTGGGACATTCCTGGCAAGAAAATTGACGTGAGAACGGGCACGCATGTTGACGGAAATCCTGGAGAGAAATTTGGCGTAAAATGTTGGATATATTTGTTTCGGAAATTGCGGCAGTAATTTTTGCATTAATTAACCTCGATGACTCTTAAACATTTGATTGCATCCACAGGAAAGGCAATGTCTATTATTATTACTCCGGCTATGTTGATTGATATAGTTACCTTACATCGTTAATAAATTATAAGCAATCATTGATACTGTTACACAAATGGTCATGTCTTGGTGTCATAGAGTTCTGACAGAATGAGATAAAACAACACACAAACCATCTTGCATTTCTGGCAAACATTCTGGACAACATTTCCACTTCTTTTTGATGGGTGCATCGCAGTTTAAATCCGGGCATTCTATCTTAGTGCACTTCACGTAACCATGTTTGCACCGGCATTCCGGGACACAGGGGCCTGGTGACCACAATTCTCCGTGATGGTGAGACTTTCCTTCGTAATAGCATTCTAAATAGATAACAATGCACTGTTTCAAAATACGTTTTTTGTAACAGATTTATTATATACTTAGCATTTTTCCGCAATTGCCCTTCCATGAGATGATATGAGTCAGGAAATTTGAACTAAATCGACTCAAAGGGACTAATTTGGGCTTGTCTCAGGCATAATTTGGCACCATTTTAAAATAGACGGCAAGCTGAGAGCTACAATGATTAATACCGGTAAGCTGTCATTTAAATTTCTGGGTGGGGCTCTTTTTCGGGTGTTGCCGCGGAAACAATCGTTGGTTCGTTTTTGTGTTGTGGTGTGAGTGTAGCTGAATGACTCCCTCTTTTTTTGTTTTACGTTACTTGATGATTGCACCAAACAGCAACACTGAGAAACTACCAAATTTCTTTCTAACTTTCTTGTTCTTCTTCTTGTTCTTCTTCTTTCTTCATTCCTTGAAGTACTGCCTACGTATCTCTTTCCTTACAATTCTGACTCCTATTTTTGTCTAAAACACCCTAAGTAATATTAAGATGGTAATGTTTAAATCTGTACTTAACTCCTACAACCCCAGTAAACCAGACGATGAACATCCCCACTGGCTTCTCTCCGGATATTTCCTTAGACTCAGTTCAAACGCAGGAATCTGCCTTTCATGTCACTGCGTTTGTTATTCATCATAAAAAGGTTCTACTTTTTTAGTCTTTAGTCTCCTTATAGTTATTCCGTGGCAAAGATAGCCTTCATAAACTTTGACCCTCTAGAGAAATTAATTTCTCAAGAGTGGCCATTTAAACCGTCACTTTACTTTGATATAATTCCATACGCTGCAGACTAATACCGTTCGTATCTTCGTATCTATAAAGGATCTACTGTTCTCTCTCGCAGCGTATACCAAGGAAACCATATCTCGATAAATAAAGGTCTGTCTAGCTTAGTAGACAGTACTAAAATCTGAACACTCTTTAATGCCTGGCAATCTCCAATCTAAAATAAGAGAATACGGAATCCTGAGCCTTGGAATCCGGAATACAACTTAAGGATTCCGGAATCGCACTAACGATTGGAATCCAGAATCCAAGCTCTAGTGACAAAGAATCCGAAATCCAGTATCTGAAATCCGCAATCCACGGGTGGAATCTAGAATCCAAGACTATCTTGGATTCCCTTACATATATAGACGACCTTAGTGTTAAATGTTCTCACACCTCAGGATAAAATTTCCTATTAAACGTGTCAGAAAGTGAAGCTTTCTTAACGATACTCAATACCGTACCTTTTTTATTGGTGGGGATTCTTATTGTGACAAATGTAGACTTCGTCTCGTCTTCGTGGCTTGATGAGTCTGCAGGTTATATGTTTAATCAACAAACAAAACTACAGTGAGAGGCGGCAGGTTGTTAAAGGAACTTTTAGAGACAGGTGGCATTAAGACTGATTCGAAACTAAGACGAGACTAGATGAAGATACTGGAATAAGAAAT